TGAGCCTGTGTTTAAGTTCCTAAACCACCCAAACTCAACACGAAAGCCACAACTAGGACTGAGCGTAGCTTCTTCCTGCTTTTGAGCCTAAAATCTTTCACTGTGTATTATGGAAGAAACAATAGCAATAGTCCCTCGCAGGCCTGTGATGCCAAAAGGCAGCAACCAGTGGCAGTGGCAAGGATAAACTCCTTAAACCTTCTTTCCAGTGCAATTAAGTGCACACAAAGTCCCAGCCAAATGGTGGTTGATAGCAGGGATGGAGTTTAACCTGTTTGACTTTGCACTGGAAGGGCCGAGCACCACAGGTAGCCACACTTAGAGTGAAGCACAAACACAAGATTTAACAAGCTACTACTTGTCAGCTCTTAATTAGCAGCTCCCATCAGAGCAGCAGCACCCAGCTGCAACGCCGTCTGCTCCAGTGCAAAGTCCACAGCACCAGTGCAGTTTTCAGGAGCATCATATTTTGCTTGGAAGATGGTGTTTAACAGCTACCATGTGGCAAGATTGGACTACCTTTGAGTTTTTTCTGTGTGCAGGGAGAGTTTCTAGCTAAGCTTAGTACTTGACAGTATCTGCTAAATTGGATGCAGTCAGCAAGTCAGGAGGTTCCTTGGGCTAAATTCCTCAACGTGCTGCAAGGTGATTTTTGTTTCTTTTGACTTGCAGTTTAGATTTCCATATCCAGCACTGTTGCAGCAGACAGCTGCACAGTGCTTGGTTCAGCCAAGTGTGTGCTGATGACTGGTGGCCTTGTTGTTGTGACAGTGTCCACCTTGCCACTGCGGTGTCACCGCTGCCACGCGGCAGCGAGGCTGCGCCAGGGACCTGGGGAAGATAAACCGTGCTGTGTGTGTTATCTTTTGTGTGTTCACAAGATAAAGAGCAGCTTGTTGAGCCTGCCTGTGAGAAGTGTGGGCAACATTTAGCTCTTGAGGAAAGCTGCACACAGTAAAGCAGTATACTTTTCAAAATGCGTTTAGGACATTAAAGAGGGATTCAAAATACAAAGTGCAGTAAAACCGTACACAGAGTGCATGAGGAAAAGTCAGAGAGTTGAAAATTGAGAACATAAATAGTTTGCTTTGGGTAGTGAGGGTGTGATGGAAGTGTGTGAGCTGGTGCATCAACCACACAAAACTCTCTCTGTTAGGAGGGTATTTCTTATATTCTGCAGGTCTCATGGATGCCTACAAAACCTAAGACAGATTCTGCTGGTATAAATTCCTAGATTTTCAGTCATCTGTGTTTGTCAACCTTTCTCTCAGAAGCTGTATCCTACCATAAACTTGCTAACAAAACATGACAGAAGTGGCATGGAGCAAATAATTTTGTATGGACAGGGTGTACCATAGCTAAATGAGCATATTGCCAAGCAAATCAGACAAAGGAATATTTACTTCAGCTTTTAGTTTTTCTTTCCAGGATTTTTAAATAAATGCTGTAAAAGAAGAGGAGAATGAGTAACATTTTCCAAGCATTTATCTGTAAATGTACAGTCCAGTGTTGTGGTTTTAAAGAGTCTCTGGACTTCAAACTTTTTTAAAAGACTGCATGGGTGAATCAGCCTCTTTGGATACTTCACCTCTGAGCCACAGGTTTTTACACATGCTCACATGCACTGCATGTTTATGCTTGTTCACTCCAATGTGTGTGTGCGTGAACCCACACACAAGCTCGCAATCAGAAGTGATAAATACAGATTTAAGACTCTAATGTATCTCCCGTTAAAATGTAAACTACTATTTGCATGAATAAGTTGTTCCTGTGAAGATGCTGGGAGGATTTTCTGTTGCTTGGAAGTAGCACTTGAAGGCATTGTATGAACTATTAACAGTTGGATACAAGTTCCCTTTAAAATAGTGTAATAATCTAGAAAACTGCTTATATTTTTGCAGGAATGCATGGAGTAAACTGTTGTGGTTAGTTTTACCATAGAGGTAGGGTGACTGCAATGAACAGCAAGAAATATGCCACAATCTTTTAAACTTTTTCTGTGATGTAAAAAGACTCTATATTTTTTCTACACCATGCAATTAAAATATTAAAATAACACAAAAGTAGTGTGGGCTTTTGGAAAAAAAAACCAACTATTTTTGTATTTTAGGCAGTGTGGTGTGTAAGAGCTGCTATTTCAGTAGTAGAGTGTCAACTCTTGAGTTTAACGAAAGTGCCCTTAAATAGTAAACCAAAGTTATGAAAGTGAAATGTATATTCTTTGAAAGCAGAACACCTGCTAAAATTATTGTATCTTGAATTAAAAAAAAAAAAAAAGGAAATAAAACAGGTGTGATTGCTGTGTCCCACGTGTGTCCCTATTGCTGTTGTTTGCAGACAAACAGAGGGGAAGAGCCATGGGTGGGAGCAGAGACCAGCCAGCAGGAGCCATCTGGGGGCACCCACAAGGGTTGTGTTTTGCGGGGTAACTTCTGTCCCAGTGATGTGACATCCCTGCAGCATTCAGGAAGGGAGGTGCACTCCTGTCCTGAGGGCTGTTAGCCATAGCCCAGGCATGGCCTGGGTATGCTTCAAGCCAGCACAGCACGATAAGGATGGGGCGAGGGGCTGGTGGGAGAGTGAGTTCTGAAGGCACATTCCAAAGGGAGCCATGATCCCGTAGAGCCTTTGCCACTCTGCAGCCTCAGGGCTCCAGGAGCTCGTGGTTACAGTGCTCCTTCACTCTCCCTCTCCCTGCCTCCAGCATGGGCTTCTTCTCCTGTCCTGGAGAAGTGGGAATTCCTTATTCCCAAAGGCCAGCCCTCCCTTTGGCTGCACAGCGGGGCCATGGCACGGTGCAGAGGTGGCAGGTGGCTTCCCCAGGACCCTGCTGTGCTGTGCCCTTGGGTGCTGGCATCACGGGGCTGTGAGAGAAACCCCGCTGTCCCCTGTGCCATCTGCTGGGCTGCCAGAAATAGGGGCTATTTTTAAAGGAGTTGGGATTGCTAAATGAACTGAGAACTGCTCTGTTGTTTCACACTATCGGGGTCAAGAAGGACGAACGCTTGCTCCTTGCATGGGGATGTGATGGTGTGCAGGACACCCCCTGTCCAGCTTGCTGGCTGCCATGTCGTCTGACAGCTTTTGTACAGAGGGTTTGTGCAGAGCTGGAATAAGAAGAATGATCTTTCAGTCATGTCTGTGTTAGAAAAGAAATTTTGTGCTAAAGCAATAGGTCTGTAAAGATTGTTGCGTTTTGTGTTAAGGTCTAACTTTTTTTTGTGCTTTATTTCTCTTAAAAATTAAATTCCACAAATAGCTACATGTTTCTCTAACAAATTAGTGGGTTTTTTTTAACTTGCAATGGTCTAATGTTCTGTGAAATGAATGCAGAGGAGCTTACATGGATGAAGTGTCTTTTCCCGCTGTTCCCAATGGAGACTTTCTTTCTCTGAATCATTGACAGGTGATGCTATCTACTCCTGTCACTCTTAGCTGAATGTCTGTCACATTCCTTCTTATCCTTCCTTCAAAACTATATTCTTGGCCTTTTTTTTTCTGAGACATCCCTCTAGTTGCCCTTCCTTTAAACCCCAGAGGGAGGAGATTTCTAAAGCTGAAATGTGGGATCAATGTGTGACCACGTCACATCTTCTCAGGTGCTGCTCTGTTCTGCCCTTCCCTGATATCTTCTGCAGCCAGGAGTGCATCACAGACCTGGGCATGTACATACCACTTCACATCATCTTTTTTATTTTCCTTATTTATTTTTCCTTTAATAGGCTACATAGCATTAAGTATAATGCTTTTAAATTATTTCTTATCCTTAATAATGGAATGTTGTAGTTCATTTCATTGCATCTGTAAAGTTATTGAGTGTTGCCGAGCTTATATCAGATCTAAAACTTGAGAGCCCTCTTTGATAAGTACCTGTAGGTCCCATAGACTTGAAAATTACATTGCTGCAACTGATGGAATACTCAAATCTGTTTCCTTTTTTCTGAATTTGAGAGCAGGGACACTTTTAGTACTTAAATTCCCATCTTTAACATTGCACAGATGGTGAAACGTTTTTGCATTTTTTATATTATTTTGGGTTACTGAAGTTAATATTCTGCTAGCTACAAATATCCGTGTGCATACCACAGGGTTCATTCTGAGGACAGAGCTCTAAAATAAATTATAGACCTTGGTAGCTCTCACAAATCAGTCATTTTTTCATTGAGAAAGTGGTGGCAGTGGAAGAAAGTTATTTAGTGATCAAAATGCATCGTTAAGCTTTTAAAAAGGGATTCGGTGCCTGTAGTGGAGCTGTAGGCGATTTATGGCTTATCTGTACTCATTGCCTCCAGCTTTTGGAAAATTTGTAAACAAAGCCAGATGCTCATTATGTTCCTGTTCAGGGTTGGTTAGATGGGCAAATGCCATCAGAAGCACTTTGGCCCTGTTGGGTTTTAGCATGTTACAGAAAATGGAACTGCTCCAAAATATTTTTTTAAAGACTTACCATCCATGAAAATATACTTCTGTTTTCTCCTCATAGAATGGACTTTTTAGAAATAGCTGTAAATGATAAGAACATGAAGGGAATATTCCAAGGACTGTGTTTTATGTTAAACTGTGGGTCCAGCTTTTTCTCTGTGACAGAATTCATGCTTATGCTGTATGATGTGGTCAAGTACCAATTGCCATTTTTAAGGGCTTCAGGCAATGCAGGAGGCTGTGGCAGATCAGGCTGGGGTCTTTTTGCATTTTTACCAAATATAGGGAGCTGAGATATTAACTAAATTTGCTACTGATTTCATATATTCTACTGCTTGCTTTTGGTCTTCTGTTTCAATTACATGATGTGAAATGGGTGCTTGTAAACTACTTTTTTTTCCACTTTGTACTGCTCTTTAAGCACGTGAAAACATGTTGTTACATACAAATTGCATGGCTATGCAACAATACATTTTTCTCCATAATCATAGTTCGTGGAATTTTTTTAATAATTCTTGGTTAACTTTTTGGTGTATTTTTTTCTTTTTTTTTTCTTTTTTTTTATTTCTTGGCTGCAGCTGACCAGGTAAACAGGTCATGGCACGCCTAACGAAGAGACGACAGGCAGACACAAAGGCTATCCAGCATCTTTGGGCAGCTATAGAAATAATCCGGAACCAGAAGCAAATTGCTAACATTGACCGTATCACAAAGTAAGTGACCTGCTCCAAACAAAGTCTTGGTGAGGGGGAAGGTTGATGCTATTAAAAGCCCTTGGGGACAGAGATAATAAACATAGTGAGAGACTGTGAAACAGTTACATTCAATTCTATGTTACTAATTAATTAATTATATATAAAAAGACAGATTTACTAAACTGAGCACCCAAAGATCCAAAAGTGAGGTTTAATTCATTGAACTGAGGTCTTACCCTGTATTTGTTTTGCATAAGCATCTTTAGGAAATATGTAACATTTCTAGTATTTCAATTGAATTTAGCATTTTGGAGTTGATAGCTTGGTCAAAATACAAGAAATAGATATAACAGTTAAGGAGAAAAGGGCACTAAAATCTGTAAATAATCTATTTCTTTAGGCAAATGTGAGAAATTGGTGTAGGACTTTCCCAGAAAGCAGAGAGAAATCTGAAGTGTTTGGTTGCTCAAATAAATAAGAAGCCATATTTACCAAGATGTGCGTAAGATGCTATTAAAAAAGACATGAGATTATTACCACCTTTGATTAATACTGTCAAAATATTCATCAAGGTGTATTAGGTGCTGGATACACAAAAAATATATATTTTTTGTTCTGTGGAGCTTGCACTGTGTAGAAAGGTCTACAGTATTACTTGTAGCAGCCACGGTAATAAAAACAGAGGGCTTTGTCTGCATTTCCAGGCTGACACGTACATCACATTTGTCAAAGCAATCAATATGAATAATTTAAAAGAACTAAAGTAACCAGTTGGCAACTCTTCAGTTGCCAGAACCAATGTGAGCTGATAATGAAGGCAGGGGCACTAATGAGGAGAGTTATAAACAGTGCAGGTGAATAACGAAGTGAAAATCATTTTAACATGGCCCATGACAAGAGTCCACTGACAGAGTTTGGAAGTTCTGGGGTGGAAGTGACAGGCAAAACTGTCTTCATAAGTGGAAGAAGTGTAACAGGTCAGGTTCTCCAAACATAATGAACAGTGAAGTGCAGAAAGAAGGATGATGTCCCAAGTGAATTAATGTGCACCTGGCTTCTACAAGAAGCGAAATGGGCCATCAAACTGAAGGGCACCTTTCCAGAGATAGGGAATTCCAAGAGAGTTTGAAAGGAGTTTGTATTTTAGGGAATTTCACTTTTGAGGTCATAGTGGAGTTCTAGAAGGCATTAAAGCATATATATATATTTTCATGATGTCTCCACGGAGACAAGTGGGCGAACTAATGCTATGCACTTTCCATTTTAAAATTTTGAATTACTTGCTCTAGGCTACATATTAGCTGAGTTTGTTAGCTGTTTGTGCTCTTTTTAGATGTAATAAAGGGAGACAGGCATGTCTAGCTGGAATTCATCCCACTCTTATGGGAGATCCTAGCTTCAGATAGTGGGAATAACATTTAGCTGGGTAAAGTTAGGTCAGACAAATTACAAACAAGGTTGTGAAAACAAATAATCAGATGCTAGAAAAAGAAGTACTGCTTTTAGTAACTGATGGGTAGTTTGATTTTTTTTAAAAAGTCTAGGTCCAGATTGTATGACTGATTTTCAATCAGAAAAAAAAAAAAAAGTGACTAAACAGAAATACAAAAAGCCTTAGTACTTTGAGAAAGATGAACAAGGTGTTAGCAGTGAAGATTAATGTAAAAAGTACTTGGGCATTGTAAATTCTCCCCATGCACGTCAGTGACAAGAGTGATGAACACTGATCTGGTTTCTATTATGTGACATTCCTAAGGAGATAACTTTTGACAAGGAAATGATAAAGACCTTTGAATTGCAGTATGGTACCAGTGGTTGATGAAGAAATACAGATGACATAGTAAATGAGTATGCATAATATATAGTATTCAAAAAAAAGCTACAAAATTACCATGTCATCAGAAAATCTCTTCTAATGAAAACTGAGCAACTAATATATTCTTCCAGGCTCCAAATCATTTGGCCAGGTCAACTGCAATTCCTTAGAAGATCAATCAGTGTCTGAGCATATAGGCAAACATACAAATACTAAGAATTTTTAAAAACAATGGTCAAATTTGAAAATTATGAGCATCTGTACATAGTTGGAGCTATAAGGAAGGTTTTAATATTTGTACTAGTAACATTTTTTAGAAGTGCTAATACCTCTTGGGATTGACAGAAAGTAATAACTACAGTGACATTATGGAAGCATGTCATATTCCTGAGTAAGAATATATAAAAACAGCAAGAGAATATTTTTTCTATAAATCCATGTTTAAGGTAAGTAACAGCCTTCCTATGTGTCATATAGTGGATGACAAATGGGTACTTTCAGATAACTTCACATATTAAAAAGATGATTCATGATTTGGTTTTTGAATGGATTTTCTTTTCTCCTGATTTAGGAATTCATTTGCTGCTAGAGACAAGTTGTCCTGTATATTTTGTGACCTGTTAGTCTAAACACTTTATAGCATATTGCTATGAAGAACTGTTGCTTTCTTCACTGGATGGTTTGTTACTTCAAACAAATTGATTTTTTGGCTTTTCTCTTAATGTGCATTCAGCATGGTTGTCTCCTTCTTCTTTATATATTCTTTTTTATTTGATTTAATTCTTACTTTTCTTAGACCTCTGGTGCTGAGTAGAAGACAATGTACATCTCAAGGAACATTTATTTTAATGACCTGGGAGGAAATGTTCATAATATAAAAAGAGGATTCATTGTTTGTAGATTATGAACTGTTCCAACTCAATATGCAAAACAGACAAATTTATATAATACATGCAAGTATGCAAATTGTTACCTGTACACTTTAAGTATAATTGAAAGAAGATTACTTGTGTAAAGGAAGACTTCCAGAAGGTACTGTCAGTGGAGAGGAGACAAGAAAAATCTACAGAACTAGGCATACATTATCTGCAGAGAACATAAGAGTAGGAGGATAGTGTAGGAGGAGCCTAGAGCACTACAAGGTACTTCTGATATTATCAGGAAAAACCTATAAGGAAAGAGGCCCTTTAATTAAAAGTAGATGAGATCAAGTATGCTTTGCTTTTTAAATTGATGAGGGGGAAAGGCAAGAACAGAAAAATGCGTGATTAGAAGTGATTGAAAACTGTCTCACATCAAGGGAAGAGTCACTTGGAAAATTTGAATATTCAAGTTAGAGCCTTTAAGACATTAATTAGTAAGCTTTTTGAACTTCTGGCAATTTTTTTATAAAAGTCATTCCATGTAGAGAAGTAGTAAGAAGCATAAGAAAGGTGTCTGTTTTGTAAAGAATTAAAAACGCAGTTGTGAAAATGGCAAGAATATGACAGAGTTAATTGGAGTGTTATATAAATACTTGAGGCATTGGTAGGGAAGAGACCACACTGCACAGACTCAGCGTCTCAGGAAAAAATCCTCAACAAATCATCATATGAAAGGGATTCTGCAGTTTTTCTGACTTCCTGTGAGGGTACATTATAGTTGGAAATGCACTTTCCATGGGTTGGAAAGAAGCATTCTTCAGTAACTTGCAAACTGAATGAAGGACTGAAAACCAATACTAACAAGAAGAAAGAGTGATGTGACTTTAAAAGAATTAGTACTTTGAATGCAAACTTTAAAAGAGGACTTTAAAATATATACTTAAATTCCTACCTTTGTACATAAGCTTCAGTATATGCAGTGTATTTTTATTTAATGACAGAGCTCACTTGAAGGCAGTGATAGCATTTCTGTGAAGGTACAGAAAATAAATATTCTCACCTGGCTTATATTGTCACAAGGTATCTTAAGTCCATGAATTGCAATAGTTTACAATTTGACTACAAGAACTATCTAATATTTATAAATCACCACATTTCTTAATAACAAAATTTCTAAGAGGTATTTATCAAGAAATATGATTTTTTCTGTCTAGACTTGATATTGGGTTAATTTGACCCTAGTGTATCAATTATTTAGATGAGCATTATTGGTATTAGTTATGCTGTAGGCACTAGTGAAGAAATGGCTTTCCATATCCTGTGAATTCTCTGTCAGGAGTGCAGCCTGACAAATTGTTCATCCCTAAATTGTGTTAAAAATTATAACTATGATTTGACTTCCTGTTTTTTCCTCATTATCTTCCATCTGTTCTGGTTTTGGGGTAACCTTAAGAATTGATTCTATGGAATAAAATGCCTTAAAATACACTGGGAAAAAGGCATGCATATTTAGATGAGTAGGATGAATTATTGACATTCAGTTGCATAGCAGATTGGTAAGTATTTCTGTACAGACATGTTTTTAAAGTTCTCTTTTTGGCTATTCCAATCTTCCAGCTCCTTTTATAGTGTTTTCTCCATAATTCCCTTACAGGTAATTGGACTCCTAAGATTTAATTAAGTATTAATTAAATATATACCCCTTTTCTCGCAAAATATTTGGTTTCCTCAGTAGCAATATATGAACATTTCATAATCTTTATGATTAGTTCATAGTTCATTAGCTATTAAGTTAATGTTATTAACATACCCAGTTGGCAAATCTGGTATTCTAGAACTATTATTGGCAGCTTTCAAGACTTTTTTTTTCATTGTAAACAGATAATTATTCTGGTTTCTAAACTATTCCATGAAAACTAATGTAAAGAACCAAAACATAATTCTTTTCTTCTTCACATCCTTCCTCATGATTTTTTTTTCTCTTTCCCTTTGTAGCATTTCTTGACTAATTAAGTTAATTAGCTTCTCTTTCTGTCTCTTCTATAGGCTGTGTCTATTCCATCTCCATGTACCATGACAGGGAATGCCCTGGCACTTTCTGGAGCAGTTATGCTGGGGCTACACCTCGTTGCCTTTGTCTCACAGAGTGTTTCTTTGGCCCTGGCATATTCTTTGTTTGTTTTATATGTGTGTGTGGTTCCTCAGTTCAAAGTGCCAAAAATAACACAGCCCACAGCAATGCTGTTCTTGAAACCTGAAGACAGAGACATGATATTTCCATGTGCAGGCATCTGAGGACACACAGCGTGCTGCAGCAGGGCTGGTGCCCTTGGCAGGGG